GGGGGAGGGGGGGGGTTGGCCAGGGAGTGCGGGTCCTGCAGGAAGGGCCGTGGTGCTCCCCAGCGAGCTCCCAGCGGCTGCCGTGCAGGGGGATGGGGGTCTCGGAGGGAGCTGCTTAGCTTCAGGCTGGATGCGGGAGTGCAAGACTGCCGCGACACAGCCTAATTTGGTCCCGTACCCCTTTCTTTAGTAGCTGGAGGTTTCCTGCCCACCTGGGAAGAGATCCCGTCGGATCCGCCTTCCCACAGTGCGCAGGGCGTCTCGCGGGGAGGGGGCCCCAGTTCGGTTCAGGAAGCTGAAGGTGGAAGCAAAGCCGTACCGTGGCAGCGCTAGGGTGTAAATGTTAGCTCAGAACCATGGTGTGTGGATAGTGGTTTCCCTCGAAGGTGGCGGCCGTGACATCTCTACGGGACGGAGCAGGTCTGGAGCATGCGGGGGGTACGCTCTGGAGGAGGGAGGACGATGCTGGTGGGGTGTGGGGTGCTGCCAAGCCTCTATCTGCTCAGCCCCGCGCCCAGCACCTTGTTGCTCAGCGGCTCGGGAGTGCTGGCTGAGCCCCACTCGTGCTCCATGCTCTTCACACAGGGCAGGCTGGGGTTTGCCTTCTGCACCACCGAGATCTGGCAGGTCTGCGAGTCGTAGTGGGCCTCGCACCAGTCGGGGAAGTCGATGGGGTGCTGGGTGCTGTGGGAAGAGGGCACGGCACCGTCAGCTCCCCCTGGTCCGTGCCAGGGGGCTGCTGGCAGGGCCGGGTGGCTTCCTGGCATCTTGCTGCGCTGAGACACCCCTGGCCCTGCTTTGGTTTCTGACTCACCCCACCACCCTCCACACCCTGCTGGGCTCCTGCCCTCACCTCTGCCCCTTGTCCCCCAGGGCCTGGCACCCCGCAGCCCCCCAGGGCTGTGACATTTTCTCCACTGCGTCTGCAGCCACCAGGGCAGCATCGCCAGCAGTAGCCCACCCCCGGCACCCCACAGCCCTTCACTCACATCTCACAGCAGCCCACGCCGATGGGGTGCAGGCAGGTGCAGAGCAGGCAGTTGGTGCTCAGCCACGACTCCCCGAGGGAGAACTGCTTCCCCTCGTACTCGCAGGGAGCTGCAAAGGAGACGGCGGCGATGAGCACACCACACCAGGACGCCTGGGAGCCCCCTTTGCACCCCTCTGCCCTCAAAGAGGGGACAGGGGGGACGTCATGACCTCCCACCCGCCCCATGGTACAAGAAGATGCTTGGTGACCTCTCCGCCACCCTGCAGGTATGGGATGCCCAGGCGTCTGCCAAGGGTGATGCTCCCATCCATCCTCCCCTGGCCATGCCCTGCGGCTCTCCCCACCACCCCAGGGCCTGGGGCAGAGGCAAGTGGCTCTTGCTTCCCTGCAGAGGGCATATCCAGTGCCCCTTGGGGTCTGAGCATCTCTGCTGCCCTGGAAGGAGACAGCAGAGCAAAGACAGGCAGCCCTCCTCCCTTTGCTGCTGGTCCTGCATGCTCGGCCCCAGCCGGGCTCCTGCCAGGAGCTCTCCATGGCCCAGTGAGCTGTTTCTCAGCCAGAGCCCTGGGGAGCTGTTCTGTGGTTTATAGACTGCTCCTTCCACTCATCACTGGCCCACGATCGTGCTCCTGAGCTCAGCACAGTCCTTTCCGTGCTTCACAGGCATGCAGGGCAGAGCCCTGCTGCCCTGGGGAAAGCTGAGGTCTCCTCTTCCCATCGGCATCTTCCCAGCTCACCTCCCCGCTTACCTTTAGCCTGGAAGTAGCATTTGGCCTGGGAGCCCGGCAGCTGGAGGAGGAGGGAGAGCAGCAGGCAAAGCCTGCCCCAAGCACACCCCATCTTCTGCACTCGCATGGCCATGGCCGATGTTGAGCTGGGCTTCTTCACCGAGGTTGCCTTGCTTCTCTATTGCCTTTGCTCCCTTCCCTTTTCTCTCTCTCTCTCTCTCTCTCTCTCTCTGCCTTTTTAATGCTCTTCCCCTGATCCCAACAAGAGATATTTATAAAGTTCAGCTTTACGACCCTGGCCACCAGCTGTGCCCCACTGGAAAAGTTGTAAAACTCATTTCCTGATTTGAAAGGCATGAAAACAAGAGGTAGGATCAAGATTTTTAACAAGCTGTGAAAAGCTGATTCATGCCCTCCAGAAATGTCTCCAGTTGGAAGCCCCTGTGGGTGCAAGGCTCCGCAGTGAGGGGAGATCCAAGGGACCACAGTGGGGTTGGCCTCGGCAGGGTGGTGAGCACGCAAGCGGCGAGCGCAGGAGACCCTGGCCCCCAACCAGGAGAGATCCAGGCTCCCCTCCAGTCGTGCTGAGCCGTCTCTGATCCTTCACAGCGGCCAAGGTTTTTGGGAGCATCCCATCTCGCAGGGACTGGAGCAGCACAGGCATCCTGTTGACAGCCAGTGCAGGATGCAATGGCACCATCCTCAGTGGGGATGGAGATGCTTGCACCCAGCTCCCAGGTACCACAGCACGTCAGTCTCACCCCAGCCTGGGTGAAACTTGTGGCCACGCACGGGCTGGGGATGACAGTGGGATTTTTGGCCAAGAGCAGGCAGCACAGCGATTGCCACGGCTGCAGAGTGGGCGAGGAAGGCTCTGCGCAAGGCATGACCCAGGGCCCATGAAAGCAGGGCCGTGCCTGCGTACGTGCAGCACCCACGAGACGCCAGAGCTGAGCAGCCCCTTTCAGAGGCTGGAGATCAGCCGCAGCAGAAACAGGGAACAGGAGGGATGAAATCAGGAGTTGAAGGTGCATTTGGGCAACAAGTGACCTGAGTGGGAAACGAGGGTCTTGGCTGGAAGCAAGAAGCCGTGGGAAGATGCCACACCACCTGGGGACGTGCCTGTGGTCCTCACAGACCCTTACCCAGAGGGGCTGCCTCTGGGTTGAAACAACAAGGCTGTTATCAGCCGGCAAAGCAAGGGGACGGGCGAGGTGGAGGAGATCAGAGCCCTGGGAGCCACGTGGCCCCAGGGAGCTACAAGCGAAGGGCTGAATTGCCAAGAGAAATTCTCAGCCCTCTTCAGCGGCACTGCCGGCAGCAGGAAACAGGGCTCCGGGGACGGTCCGGCCAGCGGCGCAGCCAGCACGGGGCCATGCCGGCAGCGAGGCGGCGGGAGTGGTAGCATGTGTGGGTCATCTGCCCCTGCATTAAGCTCCCTGCTTTCTGAGAGTTTGGAGTAGGTTTACACCCTGACGCGTGAGGCTTAATATCCCTTCCAGAATTTGTGTTGGCATCCGCTATTATAGCTGGATATTTTTGTTATCCCCGTAAATGCCCAATCCCTCCTTGAATCCTGCTAAATTTTGGCCTCAGCATTTTCCTGTGGCAGCCTAATTAAGCACGGAGTGAAAAAGAAAACGCTTCCTTTTATCCGCTTTGGATTCGCCACCTTCGGATTTGAAGGCATAGTCCCTTCACGCTGCTGCTCCGGGCCCCCTCGCCGTCCCGTTGCATCCCCATCCTGCACCTCATGCTCTCACCTCTGAGGGAGCAGCCCCAGCTTTGCATCCCCTCTTTCCCTCAGAGAATTACCACAGCACTCTCGTAGTGCCCCGAATGGTGCAGCGCCCTGCAGGGGGCGC